GGTCGTTACGTTTACAACATCACCAAAACCAGCTGGGAGAACGAAGAAAAACATATTTTAAACGACTGAAAAGGAGACATAAGGAGAGAAAGATCGCCAAAGAAGACTCAAGCACATTCATTGTCGAAATACGCGTGGAGAAGAAATAACACGACCTTAACAATTCATTCTAACTCAATCACAATACTTGGCTATATCTATTTTGAACGATCGCCCACTACTGTAGTGATTGTGCTCGTGTCTTCCTTTCTGATTGCAGCCTTCAAAAGAAGGGGAAATTTGTTGATCCTTCAAACTGCCAAATCTGCAATCACTCAACTACTTTGGGGTCCAGTTCGGAACGGATCCTTCGGTCAGGATCCTAGGGTCTTGTTCCTCCCCATCATCATCCAACATCAACACAATTTATTCATTCATTCATCACCATCGCCATCATCACATCCCCACTTTCCCTTGGAACCGAATATCCCCGTTTGAATTGATCGCTATCTGAACACCACTCCACTATTTCGGAACACCGCACTATCATCACCCGAAATACCTCTGGATCGTCAACTTTCAAACACCGCAACAAAAGAATGACCCAGCCGGTTTTCATCTGGCTACGAATCTTAAACCTACTAGGATTCACAGTTCAAACAATAGTTCATGTCTTGATCTTTCTGAACCATGGTCAAAACAAGTCACCATCTCAACCACCATTACCACAACCAACTCCACCACCACTGGAAATCATCAAAGATGGAATCATCACATCATCATCATCATCATCATCATCATCATTATTTTCTTCTAAAACATCATCATCATCATCATCATTAAACAGTCAATCTCACATACTAAGCTTTAACGAAATTTCAATCTTCCAACCATCCTTCATGCAACGATTCACAGACACTCCAATGGGATCATTACCATCACTACCATCCAACATCCCACCATCCCAACTTCCATTGATCTGGGTATCACCAGCATGGTATATCATAGCAATTATGATTCCAATGCTATACTTTTTTCAATTAGTTTGGGTGGCTTATCAGTTTTGTCCGGGGACTTTTCGAGTCGATGGGGGGTTTCGGAAATGGGGAAATCGAGGGGGTGATGGTATTATTGTTAGAGACGGGGTACAAAGAGGGGGTGTTGGTACTGGTGGTGGTGATGCAGTGATAGGAGGGGATTCGGCTTCTGTTGTGTCTTCTGCAAATGTTGGCAGCGGTGGGTCAGGAACAACTGCGGGTGGTGGGAGTGGTGGTTTGTTGAGATGGGGTTCTCGTGGGTCTAGAAGGATTCCATCAGGTTTGGTTGGTGGTGTTGCTGGTGGGACTCCTGCTGTTGTTGGAGGTATGAGTGGTATTCGACAGAGTGTTCCTGCGAATGCAAATGTTGGGTCATCAGGTGTGATAATAATGAGAGATCGATCTGGATCTTGGGTTTCAGGGACTTCACCGACGCGAAGTATTCGGAGGGTTAGTGGAAGTGGAGTTGGTGGGGTGACTGCTGCTAGTTCTCCTGGAAGTGTGGGTGGTTCTGTTCTAGGGACACCTACTTTGAGGAATTTTGGAACGGCGGGAGGGCAAGGTTCCTCTCCTTTATTTCCAAGGCAGAAGAAAAGGTTTAATCGGTTTGCCAATTCGTATCAGTTGATTACAAGACGCATATCTTATTTGTATGGTTAGTCTTGAAGCGAATGGATCTTTATTTCTTTTCTTTTTTCTCCATCTGTTACTGCCTCACTAAATATTCTTCTCAAATTCTCAACCTTAAGTGGTCACATCAATCCTCAGCCTACTATGGCTCACGCTTTGGAACCACCCATTTCTATACAGATGGAGTCATCTTGCAATGATACTGTTAACAGGAACAGTCGCAATAATACATTGGAGAATAACTCCGCTTTCGCGACGATGGTCAGCGTCAAGGGAAGCTGCGCAATTGGAACTGGATTACCCTGAGACTTTTCAACCTGGTGGTGTTGATGGGGGTGTTGGACAGCCCGGGTATGTGAATCCAGTTGGTCCTCATGTTAGGATGCAATATGGTAGCACTCGGAGGAGAAGTGAAAGTGGTGGAAATACAAATGTTGTTGGTGGAGTGTTGGCTTCTAGTACTGGAAGTATTGTTGGTGGTGCAGGATTTCCTGTTGGCGCAAGTGCTGCTGGGACGGCTTCGAGTTCTGGTGCTGTTGGCGGTGGTGAACGGGAACCGTTGTTGTTGGGAGGGAGTCGAGGGTCGGCTATTGCGGTTGCAAGGGAGCTTCGACGAGATTGTGATATTGCGGCTGGGTGCGATGAACGGGATTCTTGGATCACGTATTTGTGTATCAGAGTGCCGTTTTCGATTTATCTTGGGGTACTTATGTATAGTGAGTTTTTGTCAATTATTGAATGGGGTGATTGTCATGGGAGGTTACTAATCTATTTGACCTGACTTTTTTCTTTTTTTTGCTTACAAAACAAATAGCGTCCATTCTTAACCTCTTTCTAATCCACCTTCCAATCCTACCCACGGATCCGACCACAACCCTCCCAGCCGCGCAAACAGCTCTTTCCCTTCTCGCACTTATGGGTGCAATTCTCTTCATAATATCCCAAGACCCCGTGGTGTCCATGGTGCTATTAGCGTTTCTCACATCGGTACCAAACTCGGAACCCGTTAGAACGTTTCCTGGATCGTCAAAAGGCGGTGTGATTGCGGTTACTGCGTGGGGTGCTGCTAGTGGTTTAGCCGCGGTTGTTGCGCTTGTTGTTGTTTTGAGGGTTGTTGTTTGGGTCTTTTGCGGGTGTGGGTGTGGGTGGGAGGGGAGACGTGGGGGTGGAGGTGGTATTATTGGAATTTGTGGAGGAGATGACGAGGATGAGGAAGATGATGTTAGAAGTGCGGGGGATGGGGTTGAGGTCGGAGGGTGGGTCTAAGTTGTAACCTTTATAATTGAGTATGCTCTCCCCTTTTTTCCTTTCTTTTTTTTGGGTATAGTGATGTAGGTTTCTTTCATTTAACTTTGTAAGAGTTAGCTTATAATTTTTGTAAAAAAGAATTTGACTTTTTTGGCTTTTTGCCTTTGTTATGTTTGTTTTGAGGCTTTGGCCTGAATGTACAGTTCATAGGTTGATTTTCCGTCTCTTGTTGTCTCTCACTTTCTTTCTTTCCTTCTCTTTGTATTATTTTATGCCGAGTGTTTCAATGTTATATGAAGCCGCTCAGATTGTGTCCAAAGAGTACGTGTTTGTTTTTTGTGAGTAAATTGTGTCCTTTTTCGTTTTTTTTTCTTTAACCTGTCTATAGTACGACTATTTATTCCTTTTCTTTTCTTCCTCTTTTTGGGTGTTTGTTGTTGTCCGTGTAGTAAACGTGTAGTAGTTTTGGTTTGTGTGTGATTTGTTTTATTGGCTCTCTTTCTTTTCTGTTGGGGGGGGGGGGGGGGGGGGGTTTTTTTATAATTTTATTTATTTTAT